AGTTTCATTTTCATTATTGATTTCTCCTATGTTTGAAGATTATTTGAACAACTTTTGAATAGTAAGTACACCTAATTATCATATAAAAATACAGGCAGTTATATCATATAGTTATATCAAAGGACAAGTAATTTTTTAGTACAGTTAATAAGCGGCGTAAAATCAGTAACAACGCTATTAAAAACACCAAACATTCTTCGAAAGATTTAGTTTCCATTTTGTCGATATTTTAAAACTATATGTTAAACCATATTATATATATATATATATATATATATATATATATATATATATATATATATATATATATATATATATATACAAATCATCCCTTAGCTTTCTTTGGGGTGGTCTTTGCGGGATATATTCTCATAATTTTCCACCATCTATCTCGGTTCGCTGTTGCTTTGAGTTGTTCTGCAGCGGTCAGCCCACTGCAATCTTTAATGATTAAAAACATAATGTTTTAAAAAAGAAATTTTCGCATTAGTTTCAACATTATTCATTCTTTTTTTTTTTTGCTGCCTTTCTCTCAACAATATTACGATAACCCAGAGTCCAGCAGTTTGATAATGTTACTGAATTTAAATTATTCAAAATTTTCAGATGCGTCCCACATTACAAGTATCTGTTGTTAGTGTACAGATGCGATATCTGGAAGAGCAGATACAAGTCATGGAGCCTGTCATTCATGATATAAAAGATGTAAAGATATTTTTTTTATTTAATTGAAATAAAACTGAAATAAATACTTACAAAATCAAATAAAGTAAAACGGCTTGGCCTAACTCAAAAGTCTCGGGTTCAATTCAGTAGAAAAAGTATTCAATACATAATATAACGTCCCACCAGAGGCGTAGCGACCCCTCCCGGCGCCCGAGGACAAACTTTCGATTTGCGCCCCCCTCGAACTTTTCATTTGCACCCCCCCCCCCTCAAACTTTCGATTTGCACCCCCCCCACAAACTTTCAATTTGGCGCCCCCCTAAGGTCGGCGCCCGGGGACATATGTCCCCCCCCCCCCGCCCCCCCTTCGCTACGCCTCTGAGTCCCACGCTTTTCTTTTTAGTTATTTAAATAGTAGTTCATAAATATATTTCATTTGTCTACTTTTAAGTGCATAATAACAAGCTTTTATATAATTATGCACTAAAAATGAGAAAAATAATTGATTTTCTTTAAATATATTATATTAAACTACTATATGAATAAATATGAAGAAAAGCGAGGGTCGCTTGCTAAATTTTAGTAAAGGTAATTAATAGATAATATATATATATATATATATATATATATATATATATATATATATATATATATATATATATATATATAATATATATATAATATATATATATATATAGTGACTCACCCTTTTCTTTATTTAAGTAGAAGTGTATTATTATATAAAGTTTCCCTTTCAAACCTGACGGTCTATGGGGCAAGTGAAGTAGAGTTCACTTGTTATTATATATTTAAAGAAAATAATTTATTTTCTCCCTTCTAATGCATTATTACGTAAAAGCTTGTTATTAATTTTTTTCAAATGCATTTGTTTAGTATGCACCTAAAAATAAAGTATAAATTTAACCTATTACATTTTAAACAGGCCATTGAGAAAAGCAGGTCGTGGCTAGAAGATAAGGAAGGAAAAACCTCCCAAAGCTACAGTGATGTAACTCAACAACTAGACCATGCTAATTTAGCTCTATTGAGTCGTTCCTCCGAGATTATGTGTAAGGGTTAGAACTTTCAATATTAATGAATGTAACGTTATATGTGAAAACGCATTTTTTTTTTCATTTTTAACATGAATTTTAACATATGGAGACATTTAGTTCTAGCCGCTTGTCGAATGTCAATAAATACTGTTTTAATTTTTTTTTTAAATAATGAAAGCATTATCCTTTAGCTAAAACAATGTTATTTTTCGTTGTGCCATAAATACATTTATAAAATCTACAAAATTGAGCATTGATAAACCTATACTATTTTTATGAAAGTTAACATTATATAATGTATTTGTAGATCACAATCAAAATGGGTGTGACCCCAATGAGATCGTGCATTTTTTTCCCTACCCAGAGAAAAAATGCTCAGACGCTGAAAGATCAATAAATTCAAAATTAACTGATCAATTAAGCGAACGTATTCGGCAATTAGCAGGTAAATAAATTATTTTTCTAAAAATATTGTCTTTTACATATATATGTAATTATATTCATTTCCAACTTTGTATCTTATCCCAATACCAATCAAAATCTAAATACCAATCCCAACTCCACACCCATACCCATACCCATACCCTTACCCATACCCATACCCATACCCATACCCATACCCATACCCATACCCATACCCATACCCATACCCATACCCATACTCATACCCATACCCATACCCATACCCATACCCATACCCATACCCATACCCATACCCATACCCATACCCATACCCATACCCATACCCATACCTATACCTATACCTATACCTATACCTTTACCTTTACCTTTACCTTTACCTATACCTGTAGGGCTGGTAAATAGGTCAACAAACAGTTCTATGGCTTATGCATGCAAGTTTGATTGAGCCGTAGAACTGGTTGGTGACCTACTTACCAGCCCTATACCCATACTTATACCACTACCCACACCCACACCCCTCACCCATATCCATTCCAACAGCCACAGCTTTATTTATATGTTCGTTTACATCTTTACATCGTTCATAGATCAATATATTCATGGATATACACAATACCATATCTAAAATCAGACTACATAATTATGTCAAGCAAACTTGAGCACTTGTCGCATGGAATATACTTTAGGCCGATTCTAGCCGGAACAAGATACGAGGCGGAGACGCTGGGGCGAAAAATCTTTTTCCGAGTAGTCACTTCGTATACTTTATGGCTGTATTTTATTTATAATGGTAATTCATTCTTTTTAAATTTTTTTAGATTTGAAACAGCAATTGCTCAACAGAATGGAGAAGGCTGAAGAAGACATTGCTTCGTTACACGAAAACACAAATCAAATAAAAAGCAAAGAAAAGAAAAAAGAAAAAGAAAATGCCGATTTTACGAAAAAACAAGAAGAAAATTACGGGCGGTTGAACAGTAAACAAGAAACATTAACCAAGAAATATAAAAAATTATAATCGCAAACAAAAGAACAAGGCAAATTGTTAAAAGAAATTGGCGAAACAATTAAATTGTTAGAACCTTCAGAGGAAGCGAAATCAAATATTAATGAGCTGAGGAAAGAATTATCTAAAACGAATCGTTGTTTGACTGATGTAAAGAAACACATGGAGGATCTACCTAAAGTCAAAGAGCAGTTGGAAAATGCAAGAGATGACTTGACATAGCTGAAAGCACACAACACAACATTGTCTGCGAGTTTTACTAATGTGTGTTCAGCTTTAGTGAAAAAAATTACCGCAAACATAAATTTGAAGGTTAGTTTTAACTATTTTGAAATTATTATTGTTTTTCATAATTAAAAAAAATCCTTATTTTCTTTTTAAAAATGCTAACTTACGCACGATATGTTAAAAATGAATGTATTATTTAAATATAAAATACTTTTATTATACTCATACTAATTACCATTGCAGTTATTTTATTATTATTATTTAAAAATATAATTTCTTATATTTCAATTTGAAAGTTTGGAACAGCCTGCTTCATTCTGTCAAGTCGAGTTCAGCCGCTAGAATCACAGGTGCAGATATTAAAGAATATCTTAACCACCATGGACACGAGTGTTAGAAAGGTATTTTATTTTTACAGCGTCCGTTTTAGACATATTTTCTATACGTTCTTTCTTATTCTTCGTTCTTAATTTTAGTGTTGGAAGGGATACCCTCCATCACAATTAAGGATTACGTGTCAACTGGTTATGCGCCATTGAGGACATTGACTCCGATCTCAGCCTGCTTTTCTTTTTGGTTTTGCTTCCATAGCCTTTGCCCAACCAAGAACAAACTAACAAAGTACGAGGCAGCAGTTGTTTGATTTTGGAGTTGTCTCTCCTAGAAGAGTGGCTGTCCCCTGCTAACGAGCCTCAAGACAGCAACTTTTCAAGGAGAGGCAACTCCAAAAAACAAACAACAATCAGATCAAGTCCTTTTTTTCCACATCAAATTCCGATCAAGCTAAAAAGGATCATCAGGCTTTGATGGTGGAAAATGCAAAATAAAAATTTAAAAATGTTAGGGGGCCCCTTTTAAAATCTCCAGTCCAAACCTGTGTCTGACCCGTTCTAGCCTTTTGTCACTTAACTAAACCTCATGCTGTATGCCAGGGGTCTTCAAACTATTCAGTCCGAGGGTCGCATTAACTATCAAATTTCAGTCCGAGGGCCGCATTAACTATCAAATTTCAGTCCGAGGGCCGCATTAACTATCAAATTTCAGTCCGAGGGCCGCATTAACTATCAAATTTCAGTCCGAGGGCCGCATTAACTATCAAATTTCAGTCCGAGGGCCGCATTAACTATCAAATTTCAGTCCGAGGGCCGCATTAACTATCAAATTTCAGTCCGAGGGCCGCATTAACTATCAAATTTCAGTCCGAGGGCCGCATTAACTATCAAATTTCAGTTCGGGGGCCAATTTCTTCCCGGCATGTTTTTGATTTTTCTAGACAAAGTTCCTCAGCCATCACCAACAAGCGATTTTTCCCTTGGGACAAAAAGATCTTCGCGGGCCGGATGAGAGGACCTCGAGGGCCGCATCAGGCCCGCGGGCCGTAGTTTGGAGACCCCTGCTGTAGACGGATATTACATGCAGTCTCGTCTCAAATCCTCGCTCTTAACCTAATGAAGGAAAACAAAAAACTTGACCATAAATAAAAGAATGTATTTTTTTTATTTTCCAGCTGCACATTTTGTCGTCCAAAACTGGTAATTAGACTTCCTTTATTTTGATTAAAGCAGTTTTAAAAACAGTTTTGAAACGAAGTAGTAATCACATGTATTTATTATGTATGTATGTATATATATATATATATATATATATATATATATATATATATATATATATATATATATATAACCTAGTTTTTAGATTTTTAGAAAATGAAAATCGATACTCTAATTTGGTATCTATAAACATATTATGCCTTCATACCCAATGCAAATAATACATTTCAATTGAATTGCATTTTAATTCAAAACAGAAAAACGGATAAACCACAGGTACAATTGCCAGATTTTCATTCGGAACAAAACGGTCGCAACAGCCGGATCACTGCTGACGTCATCATCCATATACCAACACAACGGGCACCATTTTAACAAAGAATCCGGAAGATTTGTCTCCCCTGAGGATGGCGCGTACCTTATCAGTGTAACTCTTCATGAGACGGAGGACACATTGATAGAGATTGGAATGTACGTTCAAGAGATGAAACAAGCGCCAAGTCTGAGAAAGAGCATAGCGGTTGAATTTTCCAACAACAGTGTTGGGACATCGCTAGTTGTTTACCTAAAGAAAGGGGATGTGCTGTTCTTTAAAGTGATCAAAGCTGAAGAAGGTGCAATGTTATCAGAATACAGCCATATTTCTATTGTTTCTTTATAATTTAAAACAGACGATGTGTACTTTGATCAGCGTAGTTTTGTAGAGGTATTAAAAACGCTGACTTGAGATACGATTACGCAAACACAGCAAATTAAAGCGCACGTGTAAATTGAAAATCTATTGATCGTAAACGAGTGACTCATTCAGTTTTTAAACCCACGTTAAGAATAACACACGTGGCATTCTGTCAAGTCACAAACAAATAACGTGGCATGCTACCAGCGTGACATACAACCCACGTGACATACAACCCACGATACATACAACACACATAACATACAATCCACATGACATACAACGCAAATAACATACAATCATGTGACATACAACCCACATGACATACAACCCACATGACATACAACCTACACGACATTCAACCCATATGACATAAAAGCCGTGGACATACAACCCACATGATATACAACCCACATGACATAAAACCCACATGACATACAATACACTTGTCATACAACCCACATGACATACAACCCAAAAGACATGCAACCCACATGAGATTCAACCCACATGACGTTCAACCCACATGACATACAACCCACATGACATACAATACTCATGACATAATTTCACATGACATACAACCCACATGACATACAACCCTCATAGCATACATTTCACATGACATACATACCATATGACAATACACTCACATGACCTACAACCCACATGACATATCCCACATGACATACAACCCAATTTACATACAACCCACATGACATACAACCCACATGACATACAGCCCACATGATATACAACCCAAATGATATAAAATCCAAATAACATACAACACACATGACATACAACTCACATGACATACAACCCACATTACATACAACCCACATGACATGCAACCACATGACATTCAACCCACATGACATACAGCCCACATGACATACAACCCACATGACATGCAACCACAAGACATACAACCCACATGACATACAAACCCACATGATATACAACCCACATGACATACAACCCAAATGACATACAACCCACATGACATACAATAACATGACATACAACCCACGTGACATTCAACCCACTTGACATACAATTATGTGACATACAATCACGTCACATACAACCCACATGACATACAACACACATGACAAACAACCCATATGACCTACAGCCCAAGTGACATACAGCCCACATGACATACAACTCAAATGACATACAAACCCACATGACATACAACTCACATGACATACAACGCACATGACATACAACCCACGCTAGACAAGATCTTCAAAAAACTTTGAATATTCCTTTGAACACATCTGCTGCTATCTGACTCAGTAGATGGAACATTATTGCCCTCATGTATTCAAACAGGCTACAACAATGTATTCTATTGGCCTTTTCTTCCTTATTCAAATATTACCTACGTCAGTAATACAGTAACATTTACGTAGTTCTGAAAAGATGTTAATTTTTACATGTATATGGGTAAATTAATCGACATATGGGATCGTTTCGATGTTTGAACGTTGGAATTTTTTTTTTTTAATATGGGATAATTATTATGCTTGAATATGGGATAATTTGTATGCGTTGGAATATGGGATAATTTTTGTTTTAAAATACAGAATAATTTTTGTATTTGCACTATGATATCATTTTTGTGTTGAAAAATTGGATAATTTTGTTCTTAAATATATGATAATTTTTGTGTTGGAGTATGTTATAATTTTTGTGTTAGAGTATGTTATAATTTTTGTGTTGGAGTATGTAATAATTTTAGTGTTGGAGTATGTTATAATTTTTGTGTTGGAGTATGTTATAATTTTTGTGTTGGAGTATGATATAATTTTTTGTTTTAGAATATGCGATAATTTATGTGTGAGAATATGAGATAATTTTTTTGTATTGAAATAATGTGAAAATGTATGTGTTGGAAAGTGGGATAAATTGTGTGTTGGAATATGGGATAATTTGTGTGTTGGAATATGTGATATATTTTGTGTTGGACTAGGATATAAGTTTTTTGTTTGGCTATGACATAATATTTGTGTCAGAATATGGGATAATTTTTTTATTAAAATATGGAATAATTGTTGTTTGGAGTATGGGAATATTTTTGTGTTGGAATATGGGATAATTTTTGTGATGAAATACGGAATAATGTTTGTGTTGGAGTATGGGATATTTTTGTGTTGGAATATGGGATAATTTAGTGCTGGAACATGTGATAATATTTGTATTGAAATTTGGGATAATTTCAATATCTCTCGACGCGGGCTCTTAATGTAAGCAGACATTTTGATATATGTTAAGCTTTGTTTTTGGACGAGTTAATATTTATCAAATTGTTTTCCCACGAGTCACTTTGATATGTTATGGAGCGGCGTGGTCGATTGGTAGAGCGTTTGACTGCTAGCCCGTAGGTCTTTAGTTAGGATCTCCGTTCGGACTTGTCCCTGAGTACACCCAGCTCTAATGGGTACCTGACTTACTTTGTGGAAAGTTAAAGCGGCGGATCATACTACTGACCACATTTTACCTTCATATGTCGAGGTCAAGAAACATGAGCTTTACTTCATCTGTCCAATGGATGGCTAGGTCAAAAAAAGAACTTAACATTGATATGTTATCATATATTCAATTCTGTACATACAACTGAATATCAATGTTCCTTACTGTTGACATATGGCCCCAGTGAACATGTAAACGCGGACATTTATTCACAATGTCATTCGGCTTTTTTCAGATCAAACAAAGTCCTGACATGATTATCTCCCCTACATCAGGGTAATCAAGCCATTTTTCAATTCTAATTATGATTAAACTCAAAGGTGAAGAATATCTTTCAAAAGAAAATTCGACATCAACCATCACCAAGATGACTGATCAGTGATAACATTAGGCAGTTATAATTTGGTAGTTATATTAACTAGGTAGTTATACTAATTAGGTAGTTATGCTAATCAGGTAGTTTTATTACTGCCAAGGTTTTATGTCGCCTTATTGTACTTTACCAGAATCTATCGATGTAGCTTACGTTTATTATAATTCAAGGGGCGTTACTTCAGTAGCGTAGCGAGGGGGGGGGGGGGCGGGGGAGGGGGGGGACATAGGTCCCCGAGCGCCGACTTTAGGGGGCGCCAAAATGGGTTGAAAAAAAAATTGAACGGTTGAGGGGGTGCAAATTGAAAGTTT